TCCCGCTCTTTAACAGCCCCTCCCCCTCGTTCCTGCGCTGTCCTCCTCTGTGCTCACAGATCCCTCGGGAAGCAGAGCAGTGGCCTGAGACGCCCTGGCAGAGGGTGGTGGCTGTGAGGTGGGCGGGGGACACTCAGCCAGTGCTCACACATGGCTACCAACTGCTGCAGTGCAGGCACTAGCCGCGTGTGCCCCAAGGCTCGGCCTTGTCCGCCCTCTGCCCACGGTCACTGCTGTGCCCAGCTCGCGCTCTGTGGCTCAGTGTGGGTACCCCCAGGCAGCCCCCTGCAGCCGAGCCCTCTGCCCTGCAATCTCTCCCCTCTTCCCCTTCCCGAGCCCAGTCCTGCCAGGCTGACAGGATGTGCGGGCAGAGGGCCTCCCTCCGGGGCCTGCTCTAGACCCCAAGTCCCCCTCTCCTGACCCCACAGCCATGGCTCTGCCCTCGCCCAGGTGCAGACCGAGCTCAGAAGGAAGTGGCGGAGCTGGTGTCCAAGCCGGGCTTCCAGCCGCGGGGACAGACTGTCCATCTCCAGGACCGGCTTGGAGGGCGCCCTGCACCTCCACCACGGCTCCTGCACTGCGTCCTTCCTGCAGACGGACACCTCGGTCATCTAAAGGGCCCGCCGGGTCTCGGGGGCGCCCGGTGGGATCAGCGCCAGCTCCGGGGGGCGGCCTTGGCTTGCCCCATGCAGATGGGGGCGCCTCATAACTGACGGGACTTTAACTGCTGTACAGCTGTGGCCTTCAGCCGATTCCATCCCTGACACACCATTTTCAAGGAGACTAGTGGAGACGGAGCGGCCCAGGCTCTGGGGGCCGGGACAGGGGATGTCTAACGCCAGCGCCTGTTCCTGGGAGCAGCTGGCCCGGCTTGACGAGAAGAGGCGACCTCTGCCTGCGTGACCCGCACCCCGGCCCCTCTTGTCTGAAGGACTTGAGCATGGAAGCCAGCTTGGGATGCCCTGAAACCCCTCTTCACGCCAGGGGGACCCACCCCTCCTGGGAACCCCCCCACCCCCACCCCTGGTCCCGCTCACACCTCAGCCCCGGGCTCTGCTCTCCCTGCCTCTGCACCCAGAGAGCCGGCCCGGCCCGAGCAGGGCGCCCAGCGGGTACCAGGGAGCAGCAGGGAGCAGCGTGTCAGCCCCTCGAGGCGCCTGTGCCCCTTGTCCACCGAGCAGACGCCATGCGGCACCGCAGCCCCTCCACCCAGCAGGCCTGCTCCGTGCCTCCAGGAGGCCCCTGGTCCCCCAGCCACTGGACACGGCGTTTCATCTGGTGGGAACAGGAACCTATTCTCTTTTTAATGAAAATACTCTTACAGTCGTTTTTGTTTAAACAGAGGATTATTTTAAAACAGTATAAAAAGGTACCGAGCATGTCTGTCCCTTGTCAGCAAAAGGCAGTGCTGGCTTCCAGTCCCCTCGGGCTGCAAACCTGGAGGCGGGGCTGGGGTGGCTGAGTGGCTCAGAGGACTGGGCAGAGAGTGGACGCCAGTGACCCACACGGTGCCGGGGCCACTTGTGGCACTGGCTGGCGCTCTGCTCATTGTCCCCGATATCTGGGGACATCAACCCCAAGGCCAGGCCTCCCCCGCTGCACCTCGTTCTCTGCCCACTTACAGCGCTGGTCCCCTGGGAACAAAGCCACGCGGCTTCTTCCTGTGCACCGCAGGCCCTGGCACGGTGCCGGTGACTGGCGTGCAGGGCAGAGGGCCGCATGGGCCAGGGAGTGGGGTGGACGTCCCCTCCGTGGGGCAGCACGGCGCTGTGTCCACACCACCCAGAGCGGGCCCCACTCCGCTGCCTGGCTGTAACCAGAGCCATGTGGCCGACTGGACAGCCAGACCGAGTCTAGCTGGAGCCATCAGGGGTGCTTGGGCACTGGACGTGCATGGGGACCCTGACGAGGTCACTGCCGTTTCCGTCGGCTGGCGTTCTCAGAGGCCGGAAGGGCCATGCTTTCCAGGGAAGGGAAGATGTGCTGGGAAGTGGATACTTACTGGAGGTGACCAGGTGACCACGGAGTCGACATGCCTTTTAAAATGTCCGTGTGCATGTCGCCACATGCGAACACTTCAGTGAAGTCTGCTTTCGTTCCTGGACGCGAGTGAGAAGCCACGCCGTTGAGTGCGTGCCCGTGACATCCGTGGGGGGAGGGGGTGCCTGGCTCGTCCGTGGCCTTTGGAAACAGCCCCCACAGGCATCTGTGCACCTGACAGGACACTTACTGGAGCGGCCAGCGATGGTGGACGTCCCTGCAGTGGGCACCCTGCACTCGGCACCCAGCGCCACAGAGCCCGAGAGCCTGCGCACGGGGCAGGCTGAGCACGCGTGTGCATGTGTACCTGTGTGCATGTGCGTGTCCCCATGTGTGTGCATGCACTTCCATGTGTGCACTGTGTGCATGTGTGCACGTTTCTGTGTGTGTGTGCCTCGTTTTCACCACAGGCAGATAAACCCTGTTTCTAATAAACTGCTTCGTTTCAAGAGGGACATGAAAATCCAGCTGCGGGAGGCCCACAGGCCTCATCCCCGCCAGCATCTCGTCCCGGTGCTTCAGGAGCAAACTGGGGACACCTGACAGCACGAGCCGGGTAGGGACAGGGGCGAGGGCCCCTCCTGTCCGTGGAAACAACAAGAACATTCCCTTCTTAGTGGAAACGCAGGTTTAAATGGCTTTTTGTCAGGTCACAAACGAGGCAGAGGAGTTCTGAAACCTCAGTCCAACAGGCCCCGGAGGGACGGGCTGAGCCCAGGGTCCAGCGCCCCTCCCCCTCTGCAGGCCGGTGCCAGAGCGATGCACAGGGTCCCGTTTCCCTGGCTGAGCAAACCTCCCGCCCTCTGCCTCCTCATGGAAACGAGGTCGAGTCGCAGGGGAGCTGCGCCCCGCTCCTGAGATGCGTTCCCGCTGCGCCACAGGCGCGTGCAGGGCTCCGGGCACCCGGCACGCTGGGCGGGCGGGCGCACTGAAAAACCTCTCCTGCGACACTCACGCTGCCCCGCGCACTCCGGCCGCCTGCGCGCCTGAGGGACGGCGGCGAGCAGGGTCACAGAAGGTGCTCGGTGATCTGGTCTAGAGCCGACCCCGCCCGCTGCCACCTCAGGGACGCACGTCTTTGTTCTTGGGGATTGGGGACGCGGCCGCGCGGCGCTGTGGGCGATGGGCGCAGTCCACCACATGGCCCTTTAAGAGGCTCCACTTGCTTGTGGACGTCACGAAGGATTTGGGGCATCTTTTATACAGAAAAGCGTTCTTTAGAATATGGAAAGAAAAGGACTCTCACGTCCTTTCTCTTCGCTGAAGGCTTAACAAGGAAAGTGGGGCGGGCAGAGGACAGCAGGGGGTCCCCTGGTGAAAAGAGCCCCACCTCCGCCTGCCTGGCACACAGAGCCAGACCAGCAGGCTGCCAGACACAGGCCCCACCCCCGGCAATTACTGGCATCTTCCTTGATTGTATTCAGCCCGTGGAGCAGAAGCAGCAACAGGGAAGATAAACATTAGGACGCAGTTAGAAAATAACAGACCAGGTGAGACTGACCTCTCCAAGGTTGAGGGTTTCACGTCCTCTTGTGCGGGAGGTCGTGGGTGACTAACTCTGAGAAAGCTCAAGAACTGGGTGTGCCTCAAAAACACATGCTTCCATGGTTTAAATAATCACCCCTACGAGTGTGAGGCTGTGATTTTCAAACAATAACATAATTACATTCAGATTTAAAGTGACACAATACACTAAGGCCCCATTGTACAGTGACTCATAATTCTGCAGATTTTTGCAGTGTGGGCTGAGCGTGTTCTCCCCAGTCTGTCTGCCGGCAGTGAAAAGCCACCTATTCCTCTGTGTTTAGCTCTATGGGAGCTGGGGACGTGTAAGGCCCAGCCTCAGAAAGTTTAAGTCCAGCTTTTGTATTTGTGTGCAGGGAACACACGCGATGCTTGAACAGGAGGTGTTTTCGTGGGAACAAATTTTCAGGTGTATGCTAGACACCTCCCCCCGACAGCCGGTCCCTTACTCGGCATTTTCTTCCCCTTTCATGATGTATTGACTTACATAAGAGTGTATCGAACAAGGGTCACTTCAAACAGCAGAGGTGGAGAGCTGGCAGAGATGTGTGTGTCTTCCAGCCCGGTCACCAACAGAAGGGGACTCAGAGATACCACTGCACCGTCAACTCCACTATCTAAAGAAACACTGGCTCACAAATGCCTTTAAAAACTACGAAGTAGTCACTACTTGGCATTGAAGAAAGCAAATGTCGCTTCTAAAACATAGAGAAAACTAAAGGCAAGAAAACAAAGTTCGTATAACAAAAGAAAAAAGCATGCCTAAGTTAAAACGATGAAAGGATTTTTAAATCAGACGTGATTTGAAGTCATTAATAAGTTAATTTCTCTGTTGAAAGATAAATTTCAGATTACATCTAAAAACTAAACCCAAAGACTCATAGATACAGAGAACAAACTGATGGTCACCACATGGGAGGGAGGGTGGGGGCCGGGTGAGAGAGAGGAAGGGACAGAGACAGATTGGTCGCGGATGTGAAGTACAGTAGGTAAGAATCTAATACCTATGGATGGTGCCAGGTGGTTACTAGATCAATTGGGGGATCACTTCATAAGTTATATAAATGTCTAACCACTATGTTGTGCACCCGAAACTAATATAATATCGAATGTCAACTGCATCAATCGATCGATCAATCATCCAAGTACATGCTATTTTAAAAACTCACACCTAAAATAAATAGCACTAATACTTTTCTATACTGACATACGGACAAAGTATTCAGGCGAATAGAGTGAAAAGTGATCTCAGGGTGGGAGGAGAGGGCGGTGGGTGGGTGGGGGACGGGGGATCACTCGCTGAGTCTCAGGATCATGTACTAGTCACTGTGACCCCCACTGTGTTTCTGCCGCCTGAGCCCCACCTCAGCACGCTGGCTGCACTGGGCATCGCCTGGGGGCCACAGGCAGGACCTGCTTTGCTCGGTGGGGTCTTGGGTCTGCCGTTCGCTTCCTTAGAGCTGAGAGAAGGTTCTCGTGCTTGGCAAATGTGGGAGTCAGAGAGTAACGGAAGCACGTCACTGGTAGAGTGCCCTCTCCCTGAAAATGCCACTAAAATAATCCTGTAGGACACCGAGCGTGCGTCACCTTGTGGAACCTGGGGATGGATGTCTCGGGGAGGGAGGCCAATGGCGGGTGTTTCAGAGGTCGGGTCTGGGCTGGGATGGGTGTTGGTGTGCGGTAGGGTCGGGGTGGGGTTGTGACAGTGTGGGGTGGTGGTCACAACTGGAAAGGGCTTCGGGGCTCTTGGAGAAGGTCTTACAGAGCTGGCTGTGCTTTTGAGAAGCTGTACTTCCTTCAGTGTGGGCTAGCCGAGTAACTATGGTTCAGACAAGTGGGTTTTCAGGAAGCGTTTGAAGCAAACAATGCCATCTGGGTTTCCTTCTTCATACGAAAGGCAGACTTCTCTTAGCCTTCTTTCTACCTGTTGCACCAAGTTACCTGGTAACACTGAAAGAAAAGCATTTTACAGCTCCTGCCATGGTGACTTGGAGCCCAGTCCCACTGAGACAGAGGCAGAAGGGGCCGCAGGCTGCAGGCTCCCGGGGCGAGGCCACCCACCTGCCCAGGCCAGCATGCGACGCACGCTACAGCACAGAGTGGCCAAACCTAACAGCCTTTGGGGGGGCAGTTGGTCCCCCCACACCTCCACTGGCGGAGGGTTTCGGGCTCCCAGCACTGGCGATGCTGGAGAGCGGCCCTTCCGGATCCCCTCCTGCAAGGCTGAGCCACAGACAGCTGCGGCACCACGTGCATGGCAGCCTCGAAGGCTCCAGATGTCAGGGAGCCCGCCCTGCTTCCTGTCCTAAGTGTCCCCACGGGGCCGGTCACACCAGAACTCACTCACGAATATGTGGAAATGGAGAATCAATATAAAGGGGAAATCAGAAATCGGACTGACAAGAATCCAGTGGACGTTTGATACTGGCGAGGTAGTCTCCTCCAGGAGCTGTGTCCCCAGGGCTGTCTGAAAACGGGACCCGGGACTGACCGTGGTGGAGGGGCGGTGTCCCTCGAGGATCACGCAGACACACGCAGGGACTGGGCACTGGCACTGCCGAGCCCGCCTCGGCACGTGGGGCCACAGCGGTCCTAGCGACAACAGGCACGAAGCAAGGACACTCCGCTGGCGGGCCTGGGATGAGAGGAGGCGGGGTCTGGGACTCTGGCTGCCTTGTCGGAAATGCCACTGGAGCCATCGTGTCCCTGACCTCTCAACCCCACGTGAGGCAGGACCTCTGTCACTTTTAGGGTAGGGAGATGAGGCGCCCTTGTCTGCAGCGTGGGACCCCGGAGCCCATGCGCCCAGTACTGTGCCCGTCCCTGAGGCCACGCCGAGCCTGGATGGTGGGCTTGGAGCTGCGGACGGACACATAGGGGACCTGGGCACTTCCGCACCAATGACCCACGCAGAGGCCTCCTCTGCGGACCGGCTCAGAGACGCTGGGTTGGGGAGAACGTCCCTGTCATGTGTGTGTGGTGAAAGTGTCTCAGACTGGCAAGCAGCAAGCGGTTCTGACTGCACTGTGAAGTGCCTAGGGAACGCGAGCTTATGTTCCAGCGGAAAACCGAGTTTTACAGGTTAAAGTTTTCATTAGAAATGAAGAAAAACGTGGGGAAATGAATACGGTTAGTTGTGGAGACAGGTTATGTCCCTCTGCACAGAGGCCCGTGGGGGGACCCTCAGTGAAGCCTCCAGCGGGCCCATGTCCTCCCGGGCTGCAGAGACCACAGTGGCTGAAGGCACAGTGTGGGCGTCAGAGCCCTCACTCTCGGGGGACACTTGGGAGCCGACCCCTGAAGCTGATGGGGCCCCGCATGTTCTCCAGTGGGAGTGAGTCCGTCGTGTGGCCTGGGCTGGCTCACGGGACAGGCCTGGAGCAAGAAGACCAGCTCTCCCCGGGGGCAGGTCAGCCTCCAACACGCAGGAGGAGCGCGGATGGTGCCAGCCGTGTGTGGAAGGAAATCGCAGCATCTACGTGTGCGCCAGGCGCTGGAGCGGCCGCCCTGGCGTCGGCGGCAAACGGCAGAGGAAGCTCCGCTCTGGGAAAGGTCACGTGTCCATCGTTCTGCACGCCAGAGTCGCTCACTAATGCACGTTTTCGTGGTGGATCGCGTAAAATCAGGTAATACATGTGACAACTCGAGGCTGCTCTAAGCATAAGCGGTAGTCTCAGAACAGAGCACATGGGTGACACTGTCCTCTGAAGATCGGGGGACACTACAGGGCAGCGCTTTATTTGCTGGGCGCACGGGAGCGGCACCCCAGTCGGCTGGGTTCTGTGCAGAATGCGTGTTCCATCTACATGGGCTCCCTGAGCTCGGTGGGGCAGTCCCCGCCCCGCAGCCCCCTAAAGAGCTTCCTGCAGAAGCAGCCGCAGCCTCTCCCGCTCGTCGGCCCCCGGCGCCACCCACTCCCTCCGCAGCTGCTGCACGTCCACGCCGCCCGACGCTCTGGCCAGCACCAGGGCCAGGGAGCTGCCGCTGGTCCTCTCCGGTTCGCCCACGACCACCATGGCCACCAGCCTGAAAGCAGAAGCACAGACGCTGTGACTCCGAGTCTCTCAGGTCACCCTCTCTCGAGGGAGGAGTGAAAAGGGAGCAAAGCTCTAAAAGTGCGACGACAGTCACAATGGTCAGAGTACAGATAAATGCACACAAACCTGTAGCAACTGTTTTGAAAACTTACTTCCGAGCGAGAGGTCTGCCTCGTGATCACCACTGAAGAGGACCAATGACGTGCTGCCTCATGACAGGCAATGGCACCTCTGGGTCCCCAGCCCAGTGCCCTGGGCTCCAGACCTGTCCACCCAGCTTGTTCTTCCTGGTGACCGGCAACGTCATCCACCCCAACAGCCACTGTCCCACGTCCCCGACCAGGCCCCATCTCTCATCTCACTGCGCCGCTCCTGCTGACACAGCCAGACCCCGGCACC